CTGCTCCCCCTCCATTTTCACTGGGTTTTTTTTCTTTCTTATCATCCTTCTTCCCTTCTCCTTCCCTTCCTTTTCCCCTATTATGATGATTTTATCTTTTTTTTTTTTTTAATAAAGTTGCATGGTCATGTAGTCAGACTACACCGAAACCTTTAAAATTCCAATGGGAAAAAAAAAAAGAAAAAAAATTCCAATGAAAAATCGATTTGCCTCCCTCAATAACCCGTCCCCAGGGAAAGCTGGCATTGATAGATTTTTGTGCCTTCTTCCCGATAGTTTTGTGAGTCGATCTGTTCTTAAAGCAGTAATGGCAGCGGCAGCGGCAGCAGCAGCAAAGCAAGTACAGAAGGACTCTCATGGTTTTTTGTCTGCAACTCATTTTCTTTATCATTTCAAAACATGTCTTGGTCATTTTTCCCATGTTCTTTTCAACAACTGCGGAGTCCCCCCTGGTGGGACATTGAGACAAGGATTTCCAGACTGGGGTTTTCTGTACTTGAGTTTTTGAGATCCTGTTAGGTACAGAATGAGAATTGAGACATGGGAATGTCTCAATTGGAGGTACCAATTAAATGGTGAAGAAATAATTCCAAAAACCAAAGAGGTAAAGCTTTCTGGTTCTAAGACCATCCCCTCTAGGTGCAGCATCCCACAGGAGAAGGGGGAAGGGTCCCCACTTGCTGATGAGGTCAGAGGTATTTGAGAATTACACTGGCTTCTAGACTGGGGCTGTGATAAGAGTGTCCTGTCCACTCATTTACTGTTTATTGGGTCTGTACTTTCTTTAGGACATTGTGCTAGGCACCACAAAATACGAAGGGGATTCATAGTCCTTCCTTATTCTCAGGTCTTCCTTTGAACTTGACAGCATTCTCAAGGTCCTACAGGAAGCTAAAACACATCATTAACAATGATAGGTACTCGTTTAAGAAAGACTTCCTAAGTTCCTGCTGTGTGCTTGGGGTCATTTGTGTGGGGAATAAGATAGATGCCATCCCCACTGCCAGGGAGTGTTCAGCTTAGTAAGAGAGATGCATCAGTAAGAAACCAGACCAGCTACAAGTTGTTTCTTAATTGTGCGTGTGCTGTTGTTCTATGAGCTAGGAAGGAAACAAGCAAGTGACTGAGATGGAGACTCGTGGGCCATCTATGGAGTTCCTTGGGGGGTGCAGACAAGTTCACATGCTTGGCTGCTTAAAGAAAGGCTGGAGGTTCAAGTCCACTCAGATGTGCCTTGGAGGAAAGATGTTGAAAACTCTGCTGAAGATAATTCCGCTCGCACACACCAGACTTTGCTACGAGTCAGAACTGGCCCCTGGGCCACTGCTAACTGATGTTAAATAGCGTGTCCCATGAGAGTCTCTTGGAGACAATGGCATTGATGCTGAGACCTAAGGGAGAGAAGTTGGCTATGCGAAAGAATGAGGGAAGGCAGTGCACATAGAGGACTCAAGTTGGGAAATGTTTTTTAATACATCTGAAGAATTTCTCATTAGAGTTTGAATTGACAGGCTGCAAAGATACATTGAAAGTGGGCCAAGGGAATGGGAGAAATCAAAGATGACTATATGAGTTTCTGGTTGAGAAATGGGATGGATGATGTAAGAGATAAGACGGAAGAGAACAGGTTTGAACGAAACATCAAGAGTTTCATTTTGAACAAGCTGAGTCCAAACTGCGACACTGCGAAGTAGGATCTTAGAGAGGCTGTTGGATATCAAGTCTGGATCTACAAAGAGAGTCCAGGGTAGGATTCCTAGCACCCAAAGCAAGGATCCATCAGAATAAAAAGATATCTAAAGCCAAGGAAAGTAGACTCCTCAGAAGAGAGTGTAAAGAAAACAGAAGTTTCAGCGCAAGGTCCTAAGAAAGACTGTTATCTAGAATTAAGGAAAAAAAAACAACAGCACCAACACCAACGAACAGGGGAGTGGTGTCCACGAAATAGGCAGGAACAGTGTGAGGACAGATGGTACATCACTTTGAAAGATGCTCTGCAGTTCAGCGGGTGACAGAGAAAGGAGGGCTGCATCAGGGGTCCATCTTAACCAGAGGAAACAAAAAGGAAGGTCTGCAAGCTTAGGCAGTTTTTGCAGTTTTGAAAGTGGCTTGGGTGTCACAGTTTTAACATCCAATCATATGTGAGGAACAAACACCAGCAATGTGGGTAGAGGTGGGGGTATGAGAGGTTTGGAAAGGGGAGAAGGTATAATATGGGAATGGGAAAGAGGAGCTGAGTAGGATTGGTGGTAGCATGAGTCACCAATGTATGGGTTGAAAATCCAAGATTGACTGTGGTTTGAAAGGCTGATTGAGAACAGACAAGGAAAAGGTGATAGTAGAATCTATCCCAGAATAAGTTGCCTGAAGAGTATTAGAGGGGCAGAATAATGAGGATTGAGGGCATTCTCAAAGGACTGGTTCTAACAGTGGACCCTGAGGCCCACAGGAGGCCAGGTGGGAGGTGTATTCTTCTAGATATGGATAATACAATACTGAAATAAAGCCTTCATTTTTGATATCATTGAAATTTAGTATATTGCACTCTGCAACAAATAATCCATGTCAAATTTTCTTTATTCTGGTATCCTGTTATTCCCAACACATTTATGTAGTAAGCAAATTCTTTCTACATCTATGCATTCCTTGTGGTTTGGCATAACTTAAAATTTTTAAAAAAATCATGTTATTGGGGGCTCGTACAACTTTTATCACAATCCATCCATCCATCCATTGTGTCAAGCACTTTTGTACATTTATTGCCATCATCATTCTCAAAGCATTTGCTTTCTATTTGAG